AAATTACACTGTGCTGGGCTGGCTGCTGATTGGCTAATGCGATCACATGTCATTAAGGAATGCATTATGGGTCAGTGCGCCTTGTCTGCGCGCCTTTCCAGACATCCCGCTCCGTCACCGCACCATGTCGCTGCCATTTTTAGGAAAAATATTCGAAACCGTATTCCACTTCGCCTACTTCGAATTCGCTCATCTCTACTCATAACAGTAAACAGGGAAAACGAGAAGGTGAATCTATCTAATGGGGCACAGGGAGCAGGAAAAAACTGTTTACCCTTCCTCCTCTTTATCCAAAACAGATTCTTATGAAGTGTTCTTGCATGGCAGACCACTTCCTGTTATATCACATATATAATTCTTATTATTATAGCCAAATTTACCACCCTAACTCCTCCCACAGTTTTTACACTACATAGACAACTAATACATTGAAAACGTGCGGATTGTTCCCGATTGGTGTGCTATTACTTTGTGGAAACGTTTTCTGAATTGTTCATGAAATATCAGTGTTTTTTGTGGTGTGAATTGGTCCCATAGGAATGAATGGCGGAATGTTCAAAACTAGAGTGGGAGCTGACAAAAAGCTCGAGTGTGAGCTGAACAATCAGGACATATTTTCTAAAAACTGCCATCACTCCCTCATTTTTAAGCCCACCTAACACAAATTGGTATATCAAAACATTCAGCTAACCTACCCTGCTGCCACTAAAAAAATGTCCACAGCTAAGCCATAGTTCTGATAGTTTTTTCACAATAAGACCATTTGTTTGCAACTGACTGGCCGCCCATTAACATTCATTGAAACTCCACTCTAGGCCACTCAATTTTGAAGGCAAATTCTAAACTGTGCCTTCATTTTTAATATTTTCAGATACATACTATGCATCAAAATGTAGGTCAGGGTCTTGTGATTCTAACGAATATAATATTTTTCAGTGTCGGATTTATAATTTTTAAACTACAACCATTTGAAGATGGCAACCGCCATTGAAAGTAAGCAAGTTGGAGAGTTTGTTTTTAACCGCTCTTCTCTGCCCTTGCTGTTTAGAGTGAGTTGCCATAGGAACCCAGGGGTCAGGAATGGACTTGCCCAATAATGGTGGGACTCACCTGCCTTGTGGGCTGCAGTACCAGGGCTGGGCCAGCGGGTGCTCTCAGCAATCAAGAGACTCACCCCTGCAATCAGCCAAACACCTGAAGCTGATTGCAGGGGTTAATTTTAAGGAATGGCCAGACTCACAGTCAGGGCCTTGTGTGTGTTTTTCCATGGGCCCCTGTACCCTGTATCCTGTATTCCTGCTCCTTTCTGACTTGTTGCCGACCCTGCCCTGATCCTGACCTCTGCTGACTTCTCCTGCTTGATCCCTGGCTTGTGACCCTGACCATTCTCTGCCCGACCCTCTGTACCCTGGGCTGCCTGTGAGTTACTGAACCAGCTTGTGACCCCGACCACTCTCACCGCCTGTTCCTGGTACTCCTTATATGTATGTTTTTAGGCTGGTGTTTTTGCTACTGGACCCGGCCTGCCTGACTACTCTTTATATTGTATGTATTGTTATCGGTGGGTGGTTTGGTTTGTTTTGCACTGTGTTTATGTTTAGTTTTGCACTCTGCGTTTTGGCATTGTTAGTCTTAATAAATTATATTGTTTATACCATATCTGAAGCCTGCGTTTCCTGTGTCAGTCCACACACCTCTGGTCATAACCTGGAGCCCTGACACCAGGTGTGTGAGCAGGCAGCAGAGTGACAAAAGCTAGAGTGTAAGCTGTAGACTATTGGTGGAGGCAAGAACTTCACACAATTTCCCCAGAAATTGTAAGCTTTTCTAGTTACAATTATTTTATTATTATACAGGAATTATATAGCGCTGATGAGCGTTGCAGGACAGCTGACATATTCATCAAAGGGGGGTGACGTCTCCCAGGTGATGTATTTAACTCTTTTTGGTCATATTCTGTGACAACTCAACATTCGGCAATATTTCCCTTTACTTTCCCTCTACCTGATAACACTAAACAGGACAAAGACCGAAGATGGAGCGCAGAGAGCAGAAAAAACGCTGCAATCCTCTTTTTTTTCCGAAATAGAAAAGGTTATTTTTGTTTGTTTTTGTTTGTTTGTGTGTGTTTTTTCTGTACTTCACATAATTTGAACACTTTCATTTTCGCCGAGAAAAAGAACAAAACAGTATTTTAGGTATGTTTTGGGGGTGGGAGGTGTGTGTGTGTGTGTGTGTGTGTGTGGGGGGGGGGGGTACATGTCTTCCCTGTGACCTTCTAGGGCCCTAGGCCATGGCTTATCTGGAGGTGATTGTATCCGGAGTAGAATCATTGTAACAAGTGAACAAAGAAAAGAAGTGTCAGGGTCATAGACACCGCTCATTCCCTCCAAGGAAGTAGCGACATAATCGATTTTCCTCTCTAAGGCCATTCCCACATTGATGACAAGAATGGATTTGCAGCAAAGACCGCTTTCCCCTATTCCTGAAATTTGCAGCAAACTCCTCAGGGAATCCTCAGGAAATCCAAATGTGATGGATTGACTTCCCATCACTGAAAGCATCAAATCCTATTGTAGATCCGAGGATTCCGAGCAAACCTCCCCCCTGAGCAGTTCTATGGAGCTGTGGATGAAATGCGGCAATCAAGATCATTGGCAGGATTTGGCTCTCAATGTCCATTTGTGATGATGATCCAATAATGACACCTAGGCCATGACACGTGACACCCTGTAATGGGCGGAGCCCTTTGTATCTGTCCCAATGTCTGCCATGACATGACACAAGGATCTCCTGGTGATCGGCCGATGTTTTTTTGTTCCCGTGCTCCTTGTAGTCAGCTAGAGATGAGCCGAGTTTGTGTATTAGAGGGAAATGTTTGGCGATCACTCCCTCTTCCCTCGTGTAATGTGAAGCGGATTGTAGTGGGGGATGGGAGCAGATTGTTTTGTGTGTAAAATGTGTCCCCCCAAGCAGGTAGAAGGCAGAATGGGCCCCCCACATCCCGGAGGATGGCTGTGTTTTGCAGCCCTCTGTGTTCAGCCTCGTGAGCTAGCTCCTGAGACAGCTGGAAGAGACCCCCGATAAGTGACAGTCCAGGGAGCAGATCGGCTCCCCGGTGCACATCGGACATCGTTCTATTTCGAAATTAAAATCGGTTTTCAGGATGCCTCTCAGCCCGGAAACACAACGAAGAGAGAGAAGATTCCCCGACTGTGGAGAGACATCCAGGGGGCGCTGTCTGATATGTAACCAAGTAGCAGCTCAGAGGTCGAGTTGTGTGTCAACCAATCGCAGTGTTAGTAAGTCTGTATATCAAGGCGGAGCGGCCGTGTGATTTGTAATGATCTATTGTGGGAAACATTTCCCGAGTCATGACGGAGACTGAAGAGCGCCCCAGCACGCGCCGCTCCTCCACGGAGCCCGCCGCCAAGAAGAAGCCGGCAAGAGGGCGTCAGCCGGAGGAGCCAAGAAAGGTAATCAAGAAGGCGTCCGGTGTCCGGTTCCCGGGCGTGTCCGAAGCTCCTCGTCCAAGCGGTGTCCGCTTCCAAGGAGCGCAGCGGGGTGGTCCCTGGCAGCCCTGAAGAAGGTCCTGTCCCGCCGTAGGGTACGATGTGGGACAAGAACAAGAACCGCCTGAAGATCGCCCTCAAGGCGCTGGGGGTGACTAAGGGAGCCTCGTCCAGGTCAAAGGTTCATGGGCCTCCGATCGTTTCAAGAGCAACAAGAAGCAGCCGTCCCGACGGCGCCAAGGCGAAGCCCAAGAAACCGGGCCGCCGCCAAGAAGAGCAACAAGAAGCCATCGTCTGCGGCCAAGCCCAAGAAACCGGCCGCCAAAGTCCCCCAAGAAGAAAGGCGGCCGCAAAACAACCTCCGCAGCCAAGAGCCCCAAGAAGAAGCCGGCCGCCAAGAGACCAGCAAAGGCCTGGCAGCCAAGAAGGTGACCAAGAGCCCCAAGAAGAGCAATAGCTGCAGCCAAGCCGAAAAAAGTGCGCCAAGAGTACCCGCTACTAAGGCCAAGCCGGCAGCTAAAAGAAGCGGCTAAGCCCAAGAAGGCCGCTCCGAAGAAGAAATAATAGGAGCGGCGACCTCCTTCATCTCCACCCCCCAAAGGCTCTTCTCAGAGCCCCCCACCCACCCCTCCCAACAGAGCTCTACCATACACACACCGACCGACGGAGCCGCATTCTCCAACCTCCGCAACATAGTAACACCTTGTCCCTTATAGGTCATACATGATTCCTAGCCGATCCTACGGAATAATACTGAGGTTGGCCGAAAGGGAGAAGATCGCCCTCCCAGATACATTATTCACAGGCGCCCGACCCCACTAACCACACACACCGACATCGAGATCTATATGCGGATTGGAAGATCCTGTCATTCGAGGAGTTGTCCAGATTCGATCCAGAATGATTAATTGTATGATTCCATAGAAAAACTAGTCGCCGGGGCGGCCCACACGGAGAGCATCAAGGAAGAATCCTCCCGGTTGATGTCCGCGTGTAGTCCGCCTCCGTCAAGAGCGATGTGATCTGTGATGAACCCCGATGTAATGTAATCGGAGGCAGGTAATAGAGGACATGACTGACCCTCCCATGAGTGACATCTCCGTGTGGAAGGTTCTAGAAAGGTGGAAGGGAAATCCAATGTATGAGGAATGCCGGGGGGGGCGCTGGAGAGGAGTGAGTGCCGTAGAATTCCCCCAACTAACGTCAATGCCACCCCCCCTCAGTTTAATGGCCCTCATGTAAACTTACACCCACTCCTACATGTTAGTGTCCTCCCATTTGTCAGATAACCCCCCGCCCCCCGCCCCCTCATTTCATTGCGCCGCCACGTAAGTACCAACCCCCCCAAATGATAATGTACTCCCCCAAGTTATCCCCCCCCGTAACTTCCTCTCTCATCTCCGATCCATGAATGCTCCCCCATACGTATGTTCGAATCCATCTTGGCGGGGGACGCGCGTCGCGGCTAGTGATTCCGCGGGATCAGCTTTAGACGGTGCCGCCTAAGAGGTTTACCTGTGTCAGCGGCTTCGAGGCTAGATGTTGAAACGAGGCTTTCAGATGCCTAACACGTGACAGTGTAGCTCTCAGGGAGGACAGACTTTGCCCCGCTACAAACCGGGTGTACATAGGGCAGTGTACGGAGCTCTCTATGGAAGCAGTTGCTGGCCCTGACACAAGGACCTTTGTAATTCGGGGAGGTAAGAGGAGATAGCGGCTTAGGGGCTGCAGTAATCTCCTAGGATTGCTGCGGAGCTCTACTTCCAGTACGATTTCCCCCGAGGAGGCGGATGCGGCGGACGGACTCTTCTTGGGCAGCAGCCACGCCTGGATTTTTTGGGCAGGACCACCTCCCTGGGCGATTGGAGACCGGGGGCCGGCCCACAGCTTGTTGAGCTCCTCGACGTTGCGGACAGCCAGCTGGAGTTGTCGGGGGATGATGCGGGTCTTCTTGTTGTCTCGGGCGGCGTTGCCGTCCAGCACCAGGATCTCAGCCGTCAGCATACCCCGGAAGGCGGCCAGAATAGACGGGAGCTCCTCACGGGCCCCCACCCTGCTCGGCATAGTTTGCCCTTCCGAGCAAAACGGTGAACCCCGACCAAACGGGAAAATTGCAACCCGGGGCCCGGGGAAAAAAATCGGGTTTTTGGCCCTTTAAAGCCCGAGTCTTGCCTCCTTATTTGGCCGCGGCCAAAAAACATGAGGGGATGACTAACAAAACCACAAAAACAAAAAGGTCCCAGCAGCCGTTTCCCTCCCCTTTTTAACCACTCCATGCCCTGAGGGCACAACCCTGCAAAATTGGTTTAAAAATTTCAGCTAATTACGGGCCAGCCTTTTTTTAATTTCTAAAAACCAAAATCTGTACTCGGGGAAAGGAAAAAAATGACGGCACTCTTCCCCACATGACTAATTTTCTCCAATAAAATTTGTGGGGAAAATAGATAAAGGCCCCCTTTGAAATGGGGCCCCCTATAAAAAGCAGCCATGAGGCGGTTTTCCAGCACATTTTCCCCTTGCCCCCAAGCCAAGCAGGGGGTGAACCCTGAAAAATCCGGGAACCCCAAGCCAAGTCTGCGCCGGCCGGCCAAAAAAGGTTCCCCCAAAAAAAAAACCCCCCGTGACTAAGACCCAAAAAAAGGACGGCAAGAAAGCGGAGGAAGACGGGAAAGGAAAGAGTTTGCCAATCTACGTGAAAACAAGGGCCAAGCAGGTCCACCCCGAAAAACCCCATCTCTTTCCAAAGGGCCAAAAAAAGCATCATGAACCCCCTTCTCAATACACCCTTCGACGCATGGGCCCGGCGAAGCTTTCCCGCCGGGCCAATTACAAAAAACGCTCCAACCACCCACCCCCCGGGGAAAAAATCCAACCGCCGTCCGCCTCCTCCTCCCCGGGAAGAGCGGGCCCCCAAGCACGCCTCCCCCGGGGAAACCCAAGGGCCCCGTCCCCAAAAGGTAAAAACCAAACGCCAAGTAATCCCCCCCCCCCCCCCCGGGGCCCCACCTTCCCAACAAGGAAAACAAAAGGCCCCTTCTAAGAGCCGCCCACCTTTTTCCAAAATCACGGGAACCCTTTTCACCCAAAAATTTTTATTGCCGCCTAAGTCCCCCAAAACCTTAAACACTTAAAACTGGCCCATTCGACTTTTACTAGTAGTACTAGGGCCTCCCTCTTTGGATACACTTTGGGGAGGGGCCCCGGTTTGGGGAACCCTACAGGAAATGTTGTAAATGTATTCCCCCCTTCCAGGGCATGAAAACGGTTCTTTGGGTTTTACAATCAAATTGGAAAAGGTGAAAAATCTGAAGATGTTTTCTGGGGCCCAAAAAAATCCTTTCCCGGTCCCAAAAATTCCCCTTATTCGGAATTTCTAATTTTTTTTCCCCTTTTTGGAGATGAAAAGGGTTTCTCATTTTTTAACATTAAAAATTGTTTTGCTAGGGGGAGCCGGAAAAAAAACCCCCCCAAATCGCTTTTAATTTTTATCAAAAAAATCCCCCAAAAAAAAAAAAAAAAAAAAAACAGAAAAAAATAAATTTCCCCCATCCTTGGAGGGGCGATCCTAAGAACCGGGAAAAATAATAAAAGGGGGTCATGGGGAGGACAGGTTCGCTTTGTGTTTGATGACATCTGTAGGACTATATGCACAGAGCAGGCCTCATGTCTGGGCGACGTGTTATACAGGGGGAGGGGGACATTGTCAGTATACAGGGGTGTGCTGCTGGGGGACATTATCAAGTATATCAGGGGATGCTGCAGGGGGGGTGGGACATTGGTCCAGTAACAGGGGGATGGGGGACATTGTCAGTATACAAGGGGATGCGCTCGGAGATGGGGACATTGCCAGTATACAGGGGGATGGCTGCTTCGGTGGGAATGGGGGACAATTTGTCCAGATGGGGGACTTCGGGACACCACTGGGACTAGTTTAGGGCCATCTGCTTCCAGTTATTACTGACCACACATCCGGGTTCATTTTGTCTCCTTTTGTCATACATTCCTGGAGTCTAACTATGGGACATATTATACTTTCCCCCTCCCCCCCCCCCCCCCCCCCCCCCATCCCCAAGACCCCCCCCCCCCCCCAATACCCCCCCCCCCCAACATTGGCTCTTGTTTTATATCATTGATCGGATTTTGTATAGAGAGTTTTCAGTGATTAAATAAAATAAATCGATCTTCCAGATAAAACAGTAACCCTGGATGCGGGTCCGCCTTCTCCTATCGGATTGGCGGTAAGAGGGCGGAATTTGGTTCTGTGACGTCACATAGAATCCCGGCGGGAGATTTGGAATGAAGCATATAGAAAGTTGAATCCAATGACAGCTATAGACTTCCTTCAGATAGTAAAACACATTTTTTTTTCTACTGGAGTGTGAAGGAGGTGATTAGATCTGTTTCCCTCAGTCGGGAGGATCGTTGTTCGGTATCATTGAACGATCTCTGATCTTCAGGAGAAACCATCAACAACTAAAAAGGAAGGCGGATAAGATCCGTCCCTGAAATAAGATGTCATTCCCCCAGAGTCCCCTCACACTGAAAGTATTTTCTATGAATGTATATATATTATTAACAATATACCACTGTTATCATCTAAATTATAACAACAAATACAAAACATTTTAGTTAATTATAGATTTGGTGTAAACAACATAACTTAGGATGATCGACTTGGTGGAGGAGCCATCGCCAACACTACAATGTCTGTTTACTCTACTGCTTTCCTCCTTTTTCCTATCTCTGATTTCCTCCCAGAGACGTAATCGGTTGATAAAGAGGAGGTTTATAGTATTGTGTATGGAGATTGGGTGGCTCTGAGAAGATCCGTTGGTGGTAGGTAATAGAAGGCTGTCTCATCTCTGGTGGATCCGAACGTTGGAAACCTAATAAATGTTCAAAGCGAACTTCATGCTCAATGCCAAATCTATTGGGACTCACTTGTAAATTCTTATTTTGAGAAGACTTATATTCAAGTTTTTGTCCATAAATGGGGTTTATTGTGACTCGGGGTCTTGCACTTGAGGGGACATGAATCAGTGAAAACATTTTTTTTCCCACTAACAGTTTTTAAAGGGGCCGTCATTTTTTCATTGTAATTCACATTAAATAACCATGACTGGGGGGTCCCTTTGAACTGATCTGCAAAGCTTACAACATCTGTGCAATGTTATAGAATCTTGCTGAAGAAGGACTACTGACATTTTTTTTTAATTACATTTTTATTTAAATAAGTACATAAATAAAAACATGGTCCCTGTCCCCTCCCCCATTCTCTTACCAGAATCCTTTAAGGCCTGGTAGGACCTTTAAGGAGGAATTCCCACCCCACTCAAACAATGGGTGTATTGAAAAAGTGTGGGGTCCCCCCTAAATTCCTACCAGTTTCCCTTGGATCCAGCACAGGCCTTGCGAGGAACTAGGAAGGAACGGGGAAAAGGACCTTCCCCCGCGAAAACACATGGTCCAGTGGAGTGTGTGGGGGTCTGTGTGGCAGGGGAGTTTGTTATCAGAGTAGTACTAATTTACAATTAATGGTTAGCACTTCCTCCCAGGCAGTACTAGGGTCTTGGTTCGAATCCCAGCAATGTCACCTCCTTCCTGCCTGGAGTTTGCATGTTCTCCCTGTGCCCTGTGCCTGCGTGGGTTTCCTCTGGGTTACATCCGGTTCCTTCCACACTCCACCAAAGACCTGCCTGGAAGGTTATTATTGGATCCTTGTCTAAAATTGGCCCTGTGTATAGTGCCAGAGAGTTGAGATTGAGATAGTGTGTGTGAGAGATTTGTACACCCTTGACGGGTAAGTAACATGATGCGAATGTACACATATATAGATCTAGCTAATTGGTCGTTTATAAAAAAAAAAAAGCGCTGCGCTATGTGACCATGACTGGCGTGCTATAAAAGTTACCTGAAAAATATTAATAAATAAATACAATCACGGGTGTTGGGTGCAATGGCACCTGTGGGCCACTCCTGATCACTTGTGAATGAATTAAGGTGGTTCCATGCACACCAAAGACAGCTACTCATTCATTTATAAGCAGTGTTTGTTCTCCTCTAAAGTCAAATGACTGAGATTTCTGTGTAAGGTTCTCCGTTGAGGAAATGACAATAGAATCTCCACAGCGTGTGTGGTGGAGAAGAGGATGAAGAAGATTTCTCTCCCTTGGAGATGGATTTCTATTGTCCATTAATGACGATCCAAAAAAAAAAACACAATAAAAAACTTAAACTAGAAAAAAGGGGGATCTGAAAAGTGGCGCGGAACGTAGGAGAAAGCGTTCCAAATGAATCCAATTGTATTGTGTGTAATGAATGGGTTGTGACTCCGCCGCCTTCTTTTTTTCCGAGGCAGGTTCCATCAGGTTCCCGCATCAGGCTCTATAAAAGGAAGGGCGGGCCCAGCCCACAGCTCAGTCGGCGGTGTTTGCAGCAGAGAAGAACTCGTCATGTCTGCTGGTCGCGGTAAAGGAGGGAAGGTGTATGGGGAAAGAAAGGCGGGCGCCAAGCGCCACACGGAAGAGGTGCTCCGGGACAACATCCAGGGCAAATCACCAAACCCGCCATCTCGACCGTTTTTGGCCCGCAGTGGAGGGGGAGTCAAGAAGCGCAATTCTCCCCGGCCTCATCTAGTGAGGAGAAACCCGCGGTAGTTGCTGAACAGTCTTCCTGGAGAATGTCATCCGCGAGTGCCGGTCACCTCACACCGAGCACAGCCAAGAGGAAGACCGTCACGCCTCCCGCCATGGATGGGATCGTCTATGCTCTCTAAACGGCAGGGACGCACTACTCTACGGAATCGGGGGATAAATTACAACCGCCCCCCCGTTTTCTCGTCAAAAGGCCCTTTTCAGGGGCCCGCCCACCTTCTCATACAAGGTCTATTAGATTGATCATCTCGAGGGTTCTATCTGCCTCCTCCTGGGGGTGAGGATTGCCGATCATTCTAGTATTGGGGGGGGGGGGGGGGGGGTGATGGAACCCGCTATCGTAATCCTCAACTTATTTAGAAAACGTTACAAAGTGGAAACCGGTTTGGTTTTCAGCATGTCGTCTTTTCTCGATTCCTCTGTACATATGTACTGGCAGTGTTATATCTGTAACAGATACAAGTCTACAATATATCGTTTTTACAGATATGATATAGAAATGTACAATTTCTTATAGAAATGTTTTACAGTGATTCAGTAATCAGAATCTATTAGTGGATATTGCTGACTCACCATAAAAATTTTGCGTTGAATGAAAAGGTTGTCTCCTCTCCAGTAAAAGCTTTTTCTTGCGAAAGGAAAAAAAAAAAAAATCTTTGGGGTATTTATAGTGCAGGAAGTTTTCCCAACCCAAAATTTAATAAACTGAGAACTTCATCTTTTTTCCCGGGTTTTTTTTTACAAAAAAACATTTCAAAGGGAAAATTTTCAAAAGCTCTTATGATTTTCCCAAAAAGGGGGGACCCGGGAAGGGTTGAAACGGGTCGGGTTTTTCCGATCGGGTTCTGGTTTAAAGGGGGGCGGGGGTTGGGCTAAAAATTCCATAGACCTTTTCCGGGGGGAAAAAGGGGAAAATTTTTGAAGCAAAGACATTTTTAGGGTTTTTTCATTCAAATAAAAAACCCCAAAAAAATTGGTTTTTGGGGGGAAATGAAACTGATCAGAAAAATTTTTTTTAAAAAATCAATTTTAATTTTTTTATTCCGCCCAAAAAAACGTTTAAAAAAAAAAACTTCCCCCCCTAAAAAAAAAAAAATAAACGCCTACCGATGTTTATAATTCATCAATTTCTCAGCCCCCAAAACAAAAAAGATAAGAAACATTGTTTTAATTTGTATCTTTCTGTTTATTTCCCTTCCACAGATTTAAAGGGATGAAATTCAAACTGGGAGTTGGGGGGTCAGTTAAAAAGCAATCTTGTCAAATTTGTAATTTTTAATGAAAAGTTCCTCGTTTATTAACTTTTTACTTAATCGGGTTCCCAGGGTTCGTCCTTTTTATCTTTTTTGAACTTCCTGAATTTTTTTCTATTTATTTTTAATCATTTCCAAAATTAAAAAAATTAAAATATTTTTTTAAATTTGCTTTAAAAATTTACTTTTTTTTTAAAACCACTTTCTCAACTCCCCCTGCCTTGTACAGGGGGAATTACAGGATGCCGATGTTTCTTGTACCAACCAAAGGGGAAAGCTGTTTATCCCGGTTTAGAAACCCCGGGCT